AGAGCCTCAAGCCACCCTCCTTGTTAAAGCATTTCAGGGATCTGCTTCCATATTGCATCCAGCTGCTAAACAGAGCTAGAGAAAGGAAAAATAACAGCATCCTGTTGTCATGTCAGAGAAACCCAGTTTCTCCAGCTAGTATCTTTCTAACACAATCAACAACTGTTTCCCAAAGACTCTCTCCTACATCCCATCATTTGTCCCAGCAGCCAGGATGCTGAATTGGGTTACAAGTGTTGCTTGAGGGGAGCCCATATGGATACAGATGCACTCTCCCTTGGAGGGGGGAGATGTCCAGTCACACTTCATGCTCTCAAACAGGAGCTCTGAGCATTCACAGATCAGTCTTAGCTTGTGGGTGAGCAGCAAGGCACAAGATTAAGCAAGCCAGAGCACACTGGCTTTCACCAGTGAAATGACATTGAATGAGCTGAGCAACTTCCATTTTTTAGACAGCTTTTGCTGTTAATGGCTGAAATATGGCACAAGGAATAAATCACGAACTGGTTAGCTAGTCTGAGTATCGTTACGAAAGTGGAAGAAGGTGAAAGCCCATTAGCACCAGCATCTCCCTGCAACATCCTTCCAGTAATTCAAAAGCACACAATCAGTAGTATGGAAAGGTCACAACAGAGCTCAAGTAAAACAAGCACCAAGCACAGCAAGTAACAACAAAAAAGGATACACAGAAACATGGTGATGCTGACCTCTGCACAGCATCAGCTCTTTGATCCTGAACATTTGGGAACTGTGGTAATAAGAAACCTTGCACCTCCTTTCCAGCATTAACCAGGGGCAGAACTCATGGCTTTGGGGGAGCACGGGGTCCAACACTGTGCCTGAACTCATGAAGAAAAGGTAATATTGTGATATTTATCAGTACTCATGGACAAACTGCACCATGGTTCCACCTTCACCCTTTCCAACATCAATTTAAGATGTTTACAAGATGCAGCCAAGCACATCCTGTCCTGAATAAGTGTCTCAGTCCCGCTAGTGTCACAGCAAGTTGCGCACATGTGCCACAGGACAAGAGCAACTGGGAGTACCATGAACCAGAGCCCGAAACCCCTGCATATCCCTGTGGGTTTAAAGAGGTGGTCATTTGCAGAACACATAGCACAGTCTTCAGTATATGTGTTTCATCCAGCCTGAGAATGGGAGAAACCAAAGTGTTTAAAAATCAAAGGGAAAAAAAAGTATCTTGCTAATATTTGGGTTTGTAGTTTTAAGCTGCAGGAGATGTATTTACAGAACAGAATAATCTCTGCTGGTTCAGACTCTCCTCTCCTTTCTCACCTCTACTCCTCCACTTGCAGTATCACAACTATCACTAAGCAACTAATGTTATAACTGGAATAGACTTAAAAAAAAACTTTTTAAAAAAAAAAGGGAAAAAAAAGAGTTGATCTTAATATTTAAAGTCTTAAGGATAAAAAAGAAAAATAGGTTCGAAAAGCTAAAGATAACAGAACAGTCTCATTTCTGGGGAAGTATTGCTAACTCCTACCATTCAAGAAGAATGTGCTCAACAAAAGCAACAAGGCTATTTCAGAAAATTACTTTTTTTGTTGCTGTTCTTTTTCTTCACTTTGGTTTCTGAGCTTTCTGGGCACATTTTACCTCTTTTTTTTCAAATGTACAAGGGCTTTCTCCTTAAGAAAGGAAGCAGATCCTCATACATTCAGATGACTGCAATCCCAGGTATCATGACACACAGGGAACTGATAGGCCTAATGAAGATCCCATGGTAACAAATGGTCTTTTACCACCTTCTGTTTCAAATGCAGGAGTAAACTATTGAATCACAGGCTGGACACTACAGCGTTAGGGTAAAGAAAAGCAGAATTCACCCAGGGCCTCCCCCTCTCTCCATCCCATGACAATGACAAATTTCTCTACAACAGGGAAAATCACATGGCTTCTTCAGCAGTTTGTAAAATGGCCTGGATTTTTTGCTTGGCTTTTCATCATTAAAAATTGAGATCCTCAGCTGGAGAGCAGAGGGAAGTGCAGGAACATCAGTCGAGCTTAATTTTCCTTTTACATAAATCCAGCTTACCGGTGCTTTGGCTTTATTTGCTCTTCCTTTCATCTGAAGCCAGGCTGGTGCCTAGAAGGTAGAGCTGCGTGTGCACAACTGGCAGTTCCTTATTATCAGTGCCCAACAGGATGATTTATGGAAGATGAGGACTAAGCTCCTGGCTTCATGTACTTGCTGTGGGAGATGTTCTCCTGTTGATACTCAATGGTGAAAGGTTTTTAGTGTTGTCATGGGAACGGCTGTCATCTTCAGCGAACAGCCTTTCCTCAGTGTGAGCCTGCCTTGCTTGTTTACTGAACAAAGCCATTTTTCAGGAACATTTTGCCTTGGACTTCCAATAGTCTTATCTTTCCCAAAACTCAGGAACTAGAAATTATGGAGGTTATGATAATGGATGGTAATAAAGCCCCTAGAGAGAAACAGGCAGGACCCAATATGTGTCTACACCATGAGCTAATCTTCATTTGCAGGGAAAGTGACCGGACAGCTTCATTCTCTTCCTCTACTAAAAAAGGCTGACTCTTGCTCTCTCTCACACACACTTGCATCTTTCCTTCCTTCCCCAGGAATTTACTGATAGGATTTGTTTGACCAGTCACCCAAGGTATGGAGGTGAAGCCAGGACATTGCACAGCTCTTTTTAGGATGTGCTGATGCACTGAGGCATTTGCAACGTCTTGTTTCATCAAATGACATAACCCGTGTAGAAGTATAGCTGCTACAAGGGTCCCCTGGGGGCTAATTCTTTCATACTCCTGCATCTCCAGGCTACGGTGACAGAAGCAAAAGACTGGAAGTCCTACCATCAGCAGCTCTTGTTAGGACCTCATGCTGTCAGCTCTCAGGGATGAGGCAGCAGCAAAGACAAGCCTGACCAACAAGTCACTGGCCATAGAAACAGACTTTGTGCTTACTAACTTAGTATCACAGCTGTCTCACAAGCAGGACCTAGAAGAGAAGACTATTGATAAATACATCATTCTGATCAATTCAGAAGGAGGTTTTTCCTCCAGCATTTTCCACAAAAGAGAAACTTGAAAACAATGAGGGGGTTGAACAAAATATTCTGTTCGACTCGGATTGTTTCAGTCTTGAAATAAAATCCTAAAATCAAAAAATCAAAACACTTCACTTAGGAGGTATAAAAACATTTCACCACTTCTAAATCCCTCTCTTTCTTCTGTCTCCATCTACAAGGACTAATCATCAAACCTGGCATGAAATCACAAGCAGCTTCAGTCAACCTAAAATGCATTTTAGCAAACCTACCCTGAGCCTCAAGAAATAGTCAAGCCCAGATTCTGTAATAAACTGACCCAGAATACTATTTCTGAGCAGCCTATTCTCAGACTTCTCAACTCTCACAGCTACCTTCACTCGAGAGACTGATTCTGCAGAATCCCCAAACATCAAATTCATATCAAAACTGGCTAAAGCTTCCTGCTGTTTCTGCCAGAATAGGACCAAGCATTATCAAACAAACCTCTCTGAAGTCTCCCTTATTCTCCAGACACTGAAGCAAGAGGGCAGTCTTCTACCCTGAAAGGTTCACAGCCAAACAGGTTGACTAAATATGTCAGGACTAAATATCTGAAAGCAAGTGCATTTAATAAAAATCTTTCACATAAATATAGTACACCTAACACTTAAGTAGTCAGTAAATTAAAGGGATTGCAATTAAGGTGTTTTAAGGTGCAACATCATTTCATTGATGACAATAAAGGCTTTTCCCTTTTGACTATCATTTATAACTTAGCAATACTGCCTTTTCCTACCTGACTGGCTCTGATGTTGTAGAAGACAGGCACTGAGGTGAACGCAACTTGTAGAAGATTTGGGTTTTTAAGCATTATTAAGCAAATTTTATAGCTTCAGTACCCAACTCTGAGAGCACCTGACAAGAGCAGGGTTTCTTGTTGTCAAAAGTTTGGGTAGATTCTGAAAATGAAAAATATTTTCAATAGCTGGATCCATTCTGCTCCTGAAAAGAGCAGCCTCCTATTTACAGTCCTGGTGCCTAATATGGGGCTCCTGCAGGACAAATTAAAACTTCCAATGAATAAGTGCTACTATGATTACATATCTCTACCAAGAAAATGAAACTGGCTTCCAGCTTGATAGAAATTCCTCACTGCAAAAACTGAAACGATGTACACTGGTTACTTATTCCCAAGCCATCACTCAGATTATCACATCCCTCTGCCCACAAACCAGCAAGTACTCCTGAGCAGGCCACAAGTTAGTGACAGATTATGTCAGACGATGAAGCATAAGCCTTTATTTTTCCTTTTCTTTAAATCTTGTTACTCTGAGATGACATCACCCCTCTGTGAGTCATTAATCCACAGAGACAGCTTGTAACATACAATGAAAAGCAGAGCCTTGCTCTCAAATCCCTACTGTGCTGGCTAAGAGGCATCAGGCGCTTTCTGACCGCTCATCACCGCACTACACACTCCTCTGAGCATCTCAAGCATGTGTCCACAGTGCCCTTTAGTATTTCCATGAAAGACCCTAAACATGGTCACTAGATGAGTTTCATGATCCAAATCTAGACAGACACGAGCATTAAAACTCTCTTCTAGAACCACCCACAGCCACTAACCTGGGTTTTGACAGACCTAATTACCTAGATGCTCACCACTGCAGCACTCTACCACAAAGGGCAAGTCCTTTCTGTAACTTTGTTTAAGCAGATTCGGAAGTATGTGTATATTAAAAGAAAGACCACATCCACTTCTGCACAGCAGTCGGTCATCGTCCTGGACTTCCACCTATAAGTCCTGGATACCCTGTAAATCCACCTGTAAGTTCTGGATCTGGACAGCAGCAACTTTTCCTCTAGTCTTACCTCCTGGAGCAGAGGAGTCAGCTGCAAGATTGGCTAGAACAAATTAGGCAGGTTCAGGAACTAAAGAGGTGGAAGTACACAGATTAATCAACAGATACACACTGGGAGAACATGTCCAAGTCTCTTTTATTTTCATTTATAGAAAAGTATGAATATAAGTCAGGGAATATAAAGAAAATATTTCAAATATTTTCCAGTCAAAAATACAAGGCTATAGCTATCTCTCCTGGTGCAGCTGGGATGACTTCCAATTCAGAGCCCCAGGACTGCACTGTATTTTGGGGCAACTCAGAGATGCTCCTTGAAACCTTAAGTCCAAATCCAGTTTATCCCTGATACCTTCTATTCTCACAGATTTGAACTGGCTCATTGCTAAGTTTTGCCATTATCTCAGCAGCACAAGATCAACCATCAACCCTCTGTAAGACTGAGGATCAATATGAAATGATGAGACCAGGGAGGGTGAAAACAAAAGGAAATCATATACAAGTATAAGCAGAAAGCACCCATGAAGAAGTGCTACTGCCATGAAAAGAAGGCACTTGAGTTAATTTATTCTGCATTGTTGATTCTTCATTGAGACTTTAGAAAAATAACAATTAACCCTGGGCTCAAACAGACTTTCTCGTCCTTATTCATATTTGGTGAATTCTTGTTCATCTCAAGAAAGGGGGAATTTGCAAGATGTCATCAAGGTCAGACAGGCCTCTCTCAGGGATGGGTGGGCACAAAAAGATTGGCACTTCACAGCCAGCCTCATTCCTTTGGAAACCAGGAAGTACACCCAGACAGAGGGGATTCAGGGTCCGCCAGTACAGACAGAAACCTCTTGAAGTTAAGAGGCATAGCCTCTGACATGGAGAAGTCACTGTTTTGGTTGTGGTTCCTAGTGCTGCCACATGCAGGTGCCAGACAAGCCATCACAGCACTCGCTTGCTGAGACTGTCAGAAGTTAGATGAACAAGAAGCTGTGAACAGAAGGACAGGAGCAAGTGTCCAGCTGGCGAATTCTCTTCCAGGTTCCCTTGCAGCGAGGGTTCCCTACTGCCTGCCAGTGCAACAGCTGATTCCTGAAACAGTCATAAGAGGGGAAAAGTTAATGTGCTGCAGCTCCACTGCAGGGCTGTCACTTGTACTTAAATCTGGCTTCAATCACCCAGTAAATCCCATTTAGTTTTCTAACATCCATTTTCACTTTATGAACCCAACTCTGCCTTTCTACTGCTGTAAAGAAGCAGCAACACAGTGACCCCCATAGGATTATAGTAAAGCCACAGTCAGGAACACTGGACTGGAACAACCTGGAGCAGCACATACTATAGATGTCAAGTCTAAAAGGATGCACAGAAACATCTACTTGAGGTGCCCAGCATTGCATGCAACAGCTCACAAAGCACACTGAAATCCCCACAACCCCTGTATTGAAACACCCGACAGGTTGCAAAGTGGGCAAAACACCTCTTTCTCCATTTTTCTTTATAACACCATGCTCTCTCAGCAGGCAGACCTCTATTGCCACCCATTGCCATCGAGATGCCGAATAAACACAGCACAGGTCTGTGTGAGCAGGTGTGGAGACATGAGCATCTCTGGATAACCACAGTAGTGAAAGACTTGCCCAAGCTTTTCCACCTTGCTAAGAGCTACACAATAACACAACTTCTGGATGGCAGCTGGCTGGAGGTACCAGACCCATAAGTGCTGGAACAATGTTACTTACAGGCCTCTTAAGCAGAGGACAACAACCAACCAACCTCTTTTCTCCCAGGCAGTCCATCAATACATTGACCAGAACTGAACAGAGAAATATCTTATTAAAACAAGCAGATCCACAGGCCACTTTCCACAATCAGTGGCTGCCCAAGCAATGCTGGCCTATCAGTGACAGAAACTGAAATTTTGTTATAGCACTGCCAGATTTCAGCATTTAGTGGTTTAAGAGAATTCCTCACATCACTGTGTCCCAGCCCTTTGGAGAAGCATAAATACCACAACTGGATCAACTCTTGCCCTGTGCAGAGAGCTGTCCACAGAATAGCCAACAGACCTCTAGCTTCTGCTTGTTTTTAGTTCTGTGGAAACTGGAATTATTGATCGAACTCCACAAAGATAACCCTGCCCTTGGTTTAATGAGATGTCATGCTCCAGAGCGGGGGTTTACGCAACACACATGGTTGCAGAAGGCTCACTGCATTTTTCTTTTGGCTTGGGGTCATTTCAAAGTACCAGAATGTGCACAGAGAGGATTAAGATCCCAGATAAAGCAGGCAGTGCACAGAGCAGTCCCATATCCTTCAAAGCTCTGGGCTGCAGTTTTACCTTTAAAGGGCTTTGCTCCTTAAACACATAAGCTAAACCTGCTTACTCTCATCTTGCTGGTGGGGAAGGCAAATACTGACTTTGCTATAAATCAAGCATCCTTTCTCTCCCTCCGCTCCATGAGCATGGGCATAAACTGCTGCAGTCTGGATATGTTTGTGCTACAACCACTACGTCCTTTGCTCCAGATGATGAAGAGCAACTGATGCTCCTAGACACAGGCTGAGTAACAATTTCACAGATGTCAAGACTGTGCTTTATTTGTAGATCTTTCAGAAGATGATCCAAAATGAACAAATCCCTTTCTTAGCTCCATGCTCTGCCTTGTTTAATCTCGTAACCTTCTAGAAGAAAGAAGCCAATGCAAGCAAGATTTTCCTAGTGCCCTCACCTGATGGCCATAAACCAAGGACTTTGGTAAACCTCCTGCACTTGCATAACAGGGGTTTAAATGAACTAGCATCTTCTACAGAGTAGGAGACAGGTGGAACACACAGACAACAGGCATCTCTCTTTAACTTGGAGCATATAAAGCCAGACTCCACTTAGACACAAGAAGATAATTAGGAAATACTCACCAAAATATACCAGCATTGCTGAGTTTAAAATAAACTCTGTCAGATGTTTTCCTTCCTGAGAGTCACTCTTGGAACAATATCTCAGGGAACTAAATGCTGGCACAAGCTGCCAAACTGACAGGGCGAGAAGCAAAGCACAGGCATGGTGTGAGTGGGATGGCAGCAGCTGTGAATGCTTCCACACGCAGCCCCGGCCAGCAGCCCCAGAGAGCTGGGGTCAGCAGCATCACCACTGCCCTGGGGCCACCACGAACTCTCCACATCTCCTGGCAGAGTTACACCACCAAAATTCACAGCGAGGGTGAACCAAGTACACAGCCAGAGACTTCTGAGCAGATCTAGGCAACCTCAACACATGCTGCATCCTAAGCTCTGGCACCATCCTCTTTCTCAGTTGCATCCCTGTCTTCTTCCATCTTTCTTTACAAGCACCACATTTATGCCTTCCATATCTGGCCAGGACACCCCAGCCTGAGAATCTCACCATGCAACCCCCTCAGAGCACTGCTCCCTTGCAAGGCTGCATGCTCAGATATGGCCACTCACTCTAACAGAAGGTAGAAGCCTTTCCACAGACATTTCCCTCATCCCACTCAATGGCTGTTCCCACCAACAGTACAATTATTTCCTCAGAGATTAGGGAAGTCAGTTTTTTCCTCCATGAAACCTAGTGAAAAAGACTATTATTTCTGGGAACAAATAAGGGGATAGCTCTGTTCATATAAAGAATACCTATAGTAAATACTTGCACTAGAGATGTTCGTATCAAGAAAATCAAGCAAGATACCCAACCCTGGACAACAATCAATTTAACCCACTGCAGTAAAGTGAAAGAACACCAGACCATGCCCTGGAGGTTACCTATTTAGGGAACATGTGGGAGTTATCCAAAAGATCCACATGAAATGTAAGGGAGGCTTCACACACACATATGATGAGGAAGCTGCAGACCAGAGATATCATTCATGTTCCACCTGCCAGTCACTTATCTCTGACAAAGCTGCTAAAGAATTGCTGGTTCAAGGAGGCCTGAAGTACATCTCCATTGCCTTTTGCAGATAGGAACTTTTTCCACTACTCAGGCCAGCCCTGCCTGTCCTTCAAGCCTATGCTACTCCCCTGCCAATAAATCCAAGTGAACACACATAGTACCTCAACTTGGCACAAACACAGAGAGCTAATACTAGCCTTGAAAATGACAAGAGGCATGACTTCATTTGACGTTATAGGCAGTAACGCTGGAGGGATGTGTCAAAGGTTGGCTTTTCTGCTGGTTTGACATGCCTATAACAAAATGGATCAGCCAGTTGATTTTACAGACATCCAGCAAGGCTCTGGAAACTATTTCTAGGCTCTGCTCAATTGGGATGGATTTAACCCATCTGCTGAGACGTGGGCTGAGACCTGACTTCAGTGAACCAGTCACACTCAACTCCATTATCACTACCCATCTCCAGCCTTAAGCCTGCCAGCACCTGGCAATCAGATCAGCATTCCTAAAGGGCACAGTCCCATTTCCTTTGTGCTTCCGTTCCATGTAGAGTGCTGTTCACCAGATCAGGTGAACAAAAATGCCTCCTCTTTTTGCAGCCCAATGAGGAAATGAATTCCTGAATACATTTTTTATTTTGCTTAATCTGATGTTCTTGTCTGGCTCCAGGGTTTTAGTAAAATAACATTACTGTAAGCTTTTATAATTATTTATATGTTGAATGCAGGTAAGAGCTACTCCTGGCCACACCAGTTAATATTTTCTTCTTTATCTTAAAGCTTTTGGAACATTTGCATGTAACAAGCTGAGGCAGGGAAGAAAAAGCCTCCAACATGACTTCCTCTTACTAAAAGCCTGTGAAAAACCCTGTCTCAAAAGACCATTATTGGCAGTCTTGGTAGTACAATACATTGTGTGGTTGAGGCCTGACAATCCTAGTTTAGTTTCTAATTCAAATGAATGTGCTTGTTTCAATATTTATAAAAGTTTCAAAAATATTCCTGCCTAGACTAATGGGCAATGATTTTCTCAAGCAGGGATGATATAAAAAACTAGCAATAGGGTTAAAAGTATCAAGATAAAGGCAGTGCAGAAACTGTGCCTCCAGCGACCACAGCAGAGGACTGGGAACCAGAACTCTTCTGTTGCTGGCTCTGCCACAGGTGTGTTTCACAGCTTCAGGTCAGTCCCTTCATCTGTGTTGAAGTACGCCCAACATGTACAAGCTGTGTGGTCACCATCAGTCACCCCAAAGCTTCTTCAGCTTTCCAGGGAGAAGATGCTGAAAGTACACAGATTCAACTGTACTGCCATCCAACCTCAGGTGCCAGCACATACCCCAAGTGCCTGAGCCAGCTGCCACTCACTAGGAACACTAATAAAGGATCAATTGTAGAAACAAAATCCCCAGTGCTTAAAAATCAGAAACAGATTTGGTTTTATCTGACAGCACTGCTAACCTTAGAAGCATGGCTGGAGTGTCTTTAAAACAAAAAGACTCCACAAGTGTACCACTTAAAAGTCAGTGAGATTTAGCAGACTAAGTGCAGGTACTCCCACACTTCAATCCTGGCTCTGCAACTGGTTTACTATGTGAGCTTCATCAGGTCATTTCATCTCTCCAAGAAACACATGGTATGCAACAAAGACCAGTTAATATATGTACAGTGCTCCAGAGAGCTGTGCTGTGCATTATGAAACTGGGAAAAGCAGATCAAGAGAGAATAATTAAAAATTTTACACAAAACCAAAAGCTAAAACTCTTACTTTTTGCTTCCACTGCCATCCCCATAACAATGTAGACTTCTGGAGTCTAAAGCTGGGTGCTGACACTCCACGCAGACAATGTGGCCCTCCCTGAGGTACTGCATCCAGTGAGTGTATGAGTGGTGGCTGTGCAAGCACCCCGGCGTGATGGCCACAAGCTGGAATTCAACACAGTACCTGCAACCAAGATAACCAAGTAGGTTAGCTCAGTAACCAGATTAGAGACCTCCACGGGACTGGGTGAATAAACTGGGTGACCACAGATCACTAACTAAGGAAAACAAGAAACAAACTAACCCACACAAGGTTATAAAACCCAGAACAGTGTACCTGCATTGTGACAAGGTTAAATGGGAACTAAACCTACTCTGTTGGTGTTTCCAACTAACATATCAAAAAACATCAGGTATTACTGGCATCTGTTTTTCAAGCAGAGACACAGATTAGACAAGTATTTCACTAAAGCCAAGAAAACCCAGCAGACAGGTCTTCTGATTCCAAGTCTGGTATCCATTTGTTGCACCACTTTATCATCTGCTCTGTTACTTCTAATGGATTTTGTGGAGCAACTTGATACAGGAGCTAAGATATGGTCTGTAGAGGTTTTCCTTGTGATGATCTCCCTCCTAAAGACAGAATGAGGTTGTCATATTCCAGTGGGAGGACCACCAGATCACATAGCACTTCTGCTCTGCTCAACTGTAATGATCTAAAAGCCCAGCAGAAAATTGGGTTCTAGTCTAGACTGATTCTGTCTCAGTCATCACGAGGCTTTCCAAACACCTTCAGGGAGCACACTGAACCATGTAAGCAGTTTGCTTCCCTGTCTTATTTGAGGGAAGGACAGCAAGGATGAATACACATGCAGTAGAGCTGTGCTCACATTTTTGAATTTTAGAGCGAGACGGCTCAACTAATGAGGACACCAAGGGAAGCTTAGGGTGAACAGATGTTCTTCCCTTCAGACACTTAAGCGAGGAGGATGGATGCACTCACGCACTATGGAAATGCTTACACGTACAACAGCACGTGGGGAAATCAATCAACAAGTGTATGGCTGCTTCGTGCTGCAAGAGCACGAAGAAACTTCACACAGTGTTTACAGGAACACCAGCTCTCAACAAGAACCAGGAAAACCCCAGGACTGCAATAAGAACCCCTAGGAACATCTAGCTTGCAAAGCTGTGTACAAGGGGCTACACTGTGGAAGGTAACCTTTCCCATTTCCACTGTGTCACTGTTAGTGATGACCCCAAACTGCGAAAGAAGAGAAAAGAGAACAGGAAAGGTTAATGCCAGCTCCCATGTGTTTGAGACACCAGCCTGGACTCAGAGCAGCCGACAGAGAGATGGCTGTGTCTCACAAAGGAAACTGCAACAGAGCTTTCTGTACAACCCTGTCTGTACCTGCGCTGTGCAACAGTGCTGCAGGGGAAAACAGGCAGTATTATAGCAAGGGAGCTGAAATGGGAAAGATGCTTCCCATGTAATCAGATAGCAAATTCTGCCCCTTGTGAATTTCCCCATTTACTAAAAAAAAATGCAAATTGCACAAGATTCCACATTGGGAAGAGCTGAAGTGAACGGTCTTTGGCTGATTGATCACACAATCTTAAACAGCAGTGATGCCATGAACAATGATCTGAATTTCGGTCTTGTACTGGCCTTACATCAAGGCAGACCCACAACCTTCAGACATACTGTAGATACTGCTGTCACTGAGGGGAGAGCAGCACCCTGCTCTAGTGAAGCACTGCTCTTCTGCTGGGAAATGCCAATTCTGACTAGCAAAAAACTGGGGCCAAAACTGCAACCAGAGAAACATTGAAGGTAGAGTATAACTGGGCCCCTGTGCTGAGCCTCCAACTTACCCTGCTCTTTCATTGCCATCAGCTGCAGCTCTCTTTTTCCTTGCTTTTCCAAACCCTCCTGTTGTTATTAACGCTGGGACTGTGTATATTAAAGAAAGAGAACATAATGTAAGAGGCAATACTACACTAAGGCTGTTTATGTCTAAACAACAGTAAAGATTGGCCTTTAATGTCATATGGTTTTATCTTCAGCAGGAGATAAAAACAGTGATAACTTGGTATTTTCATATTATCCATGACCATCAACCATTTCACTGAAAAAAGAATCTGTTTGTTGCCAGATATTTGCATGAGCAGCATAAGCAGGCACAGCCAAAAGACAGAGCAAGGGGACAATATTCGCTTAATACCAACTTTAAACAGGTTTGAAGAAGTCGGTTGTAGCGAACATCCAGACGGGACAGATTTTGAACCCAAAATACCAGCAAAAATGACATGCAGTTATTCTAAAACTCACTACAGGTAGGTCATGAAAACTGGATTTGAACACACTGTAATCAGACTTTGTCTCTAGAAACTAGCTGGAAGTCCCCTTTGCCTGCACTCTGCTACAGAGCAGAGAAGTCATATCATGCCTTTGATGGGTATCGCTCCTTCATGACTTTTTGCACGTTACTCATAAAATACATTAAAAAAGTGCTCCACACCCACTTAAAATGCCAGAGATTTACACTCATATACATGAGATCACAACAGGTCTTTGATATTTCACTTTAGACAGCAGATCACAGCAAATGGCAGGCACTCCCTTCAAATACTGTCCTCAGAAGGACACCTCTAAGCCTCTGTGTGTAAAGCTCAGTTCTCTATTATACCAGACAGGCCCAGAGCAAACATGCTGCTGTCTGAAAACAACTCTTTTCAAATACAGTGGAGAAAGATCAGCTCTGCTGACCCAAACAAGAGTCCTCCCCCTGATTACCCAGACACTTACATTTTCAGTGGACTTACTCAGGGACTGTTTGCACTCTGTTCCTTGCCGAGTCCAGTACTCCATGCAGCCAGCCCTCTCCTCCAGAGGAGGGCATGCCTCTCCTCCATTCCTGGCCTCCTGGATGATGTGTCTCCTCCGAACACGGTATGTTGTCTTGCAAGGCTCTGCACAGCCACTCCAGACACTCCATTGAGATACAACACAAGGGATAACTGGAGGAAGAGTAACAACCAGGGATGTGGAATGTTACAGAACTGACAACAATGACATCCCTGCTCCAGAAATGACACTTTTCAATGTAGCTCAGAACAATCTTCCTTACCTGTCCCACAGTTGTGTTGGGCAGCACCCAGCACGCTCTGCTCCCAGGAAATTACCTGCCCAGAAGCTCCAGCCACCCAGGGGCCAGTCACCTCCCTCTCCTACACCACTGCAAGCCTCCCCTGCAAACTGGGACTTGCACTGGGTGAACTGAGAAGAGTTTTAGAAGTAGATGAGGTCAAATCCATTAAGAGCCTCTACGCCCAGCATCTTACAGTAACAGACATTCACACTCTGATTTCCAAAGGCATTCAAAAGCCTGTGCCTCACTGATTTTACTGGGACATATGCTTCTAAATGCTGCTGTGAACCCAGCCTTTCTGAATAGCTTAATGCTTGTCCTGCGGGACACAGATAACCCCTAATTACTGCATTAACCTCAACTGAAACTGCCCTTGTCTTCAAAAACTTTAAGAAGATCTTTCAAATGCTATTGCTCTTTGTCTAAAGTCAACATAAGCAGCTTTTTTAACCTATTAAAAGATTAGGTATTAAATCAATTATCTGAGTAATTGAGACATTTCTTATATGCAGCAGCGCACCACAAAAATATAAAAAGCCTGTGCACAGGATTGTAGGCTACCCAACATTATGACCCTTTTGTGCATCTGATGTATTTGGAATGTTCTGCTCTCTTCAGCTGTGTTTGGTGTCAGACAATAATGCCTTTTCCTTAATATTTTGCGCTACAAGTCAGTTTATTAAAGTAACTCTTCAGTGGTGGGAGAAATAAAACTACCAAAAAAACGCCAGGCTAAGGCAATATAACTCAAAGCAGAACTGGGTTCCGCACATCCAGCAGAATGAATCACAAGAAATAACACAGAAATACCTCATTCTGCGTAAACCCAGCTTCCCCGCCTGATCTCCGTAAGCAAGATGCTGCTATTCCTCCGGTGAGCCACAGGATGGCACCGGGATGGGCGAGCACAGCTAGGGCTGCAGCTGGGACACTGGCACTGCTGCCAAGGCACCCAGCACAGAAAGGGACCAGTGATTGCCCTCTGCCAGCCCCTCATAGTGCGCAACAACGGCCTGCGAGCACGTTTTTCTTATTACTCTTCCATAACATGAAGCACAGACACGAGGGCTGCCTGTTTATCCCTGTTATCCCTAATGACTGCCGAGAGCAATTAGGATTCGGACACAGTGGTACTGAAGGATATCAAAGGCATTGGGGCATCCAACCTCAGCAGCAGGACAGCCACACTGCACACCTGCACCAGGGCAGAGGTGAGGCAGGTTTACAGCATCCTGTGGGCACCAGTTCCATGCTCTCTGCTGCACTTGGGAGTTGTTGGTCTGCAGAGCCACTAGCCTGTCCTCATTCCCAGACACAGCTTGTTTAAAGCACTTCGCAACAAACTTATTTCCCACCCATTTTCCAGCTCTCTCTTGACTGAAAAAATGCAATTAAATCATAGGAACGTCTGCCCATCTGCCTAGAGCAAAACTGTGCTAAGGCACGTGCATGCGTGTTTGAAAAAAGAGAAAAAAAAGCATTATGTGAGGAGGTAAGTCACTTTGAGGATGCAGTTTGTGGGAAGGGAATATGAGATTGTACCACTCGTTAAATAAATCACTTCCTTAATTCACATCCACACTTTAACAGAAGGCATTTAAGGAGGGAGTGCTGCTGTGCTCCTGGGAAACGTAGCGCTGCGGGGACCCCAGCACTCAGCTGCACAGGCACTGCTGTTGAGTGCCCGCATCAAACGCTGTGGCCGCTGATGTTGATGCCTTTTGCAGGGAAGCACGGACTAACAGGAGCAGCAGATTTGATCCCATCCACAGTAATTCAATCCACAAGAGGGAAAGGGACTGGGAGATCCTGACTCGGATAAGAAACGCCCTCTTTCACGTTCTACCCTGTACAAGCACGCTGCACCCTGACGTGACCTGGCAGGTACCTGCTGCTGGGGACCTTACACCCCTGAGAGCCACAACCCGGGAGGGGAGCGCAGTGTCTCCAGCATCGCTTCCTCAGCCACCTGCACCGCGCCTGCCCCTCCTGCTTCTCCCGGGAGCCAAGCACCCCGAACGCAGCCAGAGCCCCTGGGGACGGCCACAGCCCCGCCGGCCACTCACCTGGGCAGGCCTCGGCGTAGTCATGGCAGCAGTCCAGGGTACGGGCGCAGACCTGGTCGCAGTAGCAGAGCCCGTGGGAGCCGTCGGGCCGGCGGCCGGTGCTCAGGCAGGCCGGGTCGCGGCCCGGGCAGCACAACCCGCGGGCGGCACAGCCGGCGGCGGCGCGGCGGGGCAGGGCCGGCAGCACCAGCAGCGCCAGCAGGGCGGCCCAGCGGGGGCAGCCCGCCATGGCGGCACGGAGCCTTCGCCCGCCTTCGTGCCCCGCCGCCCGGCCCGGCTGCCGGCTTAAAGGCGCTGGGTGTGGGCGCTGAGGGGGAAGGAGCCGGCCCGCCTACCCCGCGCCCCGGCGCTGCACGGGGGAAGGCGGCGGGCCGGGCCGGGCGGGGCCCCGGTGCCACCAGCACGCACGGTGCCTCGGCTCGGGGCCACCGGAGCTCCCAGCGCGGGCAGAGCCCGGTCCCCGCCGCTGTACACGGGCAGGTGCGTGAGCCGGGCCGGCCGCTCGCGGCTGCACCGTGTCCCGGGACAGGCTGACAGCCACGGGAACCCTGCACACAAATACCCATTGTCCTCCCAGCGCGGACACAACGCTTCTTTGCCTTAACCCTCGTGGCATCGCCTAACGACCGTGTGTCCAATTTCTGCAGGCTTAAAAGCTAAAAGGTATCATTTCCTCACTGCTAGCATTTATCAGCCCAAAATCACAAAGATTATGATGAAAAACAAATTATAAGAGACCATTTCTTGCCAGGTTTGACTTCAGCATACCTCAGGAGCCATTCAAAACCTGAAAGTACTTCACTCCCAGTACAGCAGCTTTTAAGAAACACGATCCAGCTGGCTATAGTGCCTCTCTACAGAATTACTCCAAATTTTCTCCTTACGTTCAAACACAAGAAGCTTAAAGGGGTTACAGCCACCCCTGTGAATTATTTAGCTATTCACTAGGATGCTAAAGGCTTTACTGAAACTTTTTATCAAACAGGCTTACTAAAATATTGATCACAACAGATGTCCCTGCCCATGGCAGGGGGGTTGGAACTGGATGATCTTAAGGTCCTTTCCAACCCAAACCATTCTATGTTACACCCTGCTCAGCACTGAAGTGGGATTTATAACACCCCCCCCCCCGATAATTTTACAACTGATGATGCTGTTCTACTAAGACTGAGTATGGGCAGAGTGTTCCCACTTCAGAGAGACTGCAGCAAAGATGCTTCTAGAAAAAAGCACAAAATAATATTAGAGGACAGGCTAATCATGTGCAGTGCTGGAGGCATGGGAGCAGAGGAGAGCTGGCACCACACCAGCTCAGGCAGAACATGGAAAAGTGGTTCAAAAAGATAAGGAATAAAAGGAACTTTAGCTTCTTAGTATGTCAAGAGAAGTCTGTAGCAAAGGGCAGATGTCTCATTTTCTTGGCAGTGGTCAGATATTGTCACCTTGGAAATCTCACGTGTAACAAAGTGTAACAAATCCTGCAGCGGGCAAGAGACAAAAGGGCCAGGACAGGAAAGAGAAGAGCACTTGGAAATAAGTGGCCATGGGGTCTGGGAAGCAGGAATTTAACGATACCAGGTGTTAATTCCTGCCTCTGCCAGTGAGTCACTTGCTGTGTGACCTTGGACAAGTCATTTAATCAATGTATGTCTCATTCTCGATCCAGAAGAGAAAGAACATTTAGAAGGAGATTGCATTACTCAGCTAATTAGTCAATGCAAACCAGAGGCCTGTGCAGCTCTTGTGCAATTAACAGAAGGGCAGTAATAGAGCACCAAAGCACGTTTCCCAAGTGCTTCTGTCCAACTGCCATGCTCCAAGTCCCCCTGCCAACAGTGGCTGAGGTAGGAGGAACACCTTCACATCATTCTGAGACACAGAGAACTGACTGAATGAAAATTAGCTTTAAAAAGCAATGTGTCCACATAAAGACTGCAATTTTGATTGGCCCTGTGCTGTAGGAAAATTGGATCTGGGTCCAGACATCTCAGTAGGGTTTATGTTCAATCCACTCCCACCTAGAGGTCTTAGGAGCAAACTCTGTTGCTCATCTTACATTCCCAGTCTGCAAGCAGTTCTATCCTTGTTCTGGGTTGACATAGCTCTATGGGATTTTTTAGGGTTTGTCTGGGTTGGTTTTTTTCCCTGGCAGGCTCAAGATGGTAATGTTAAGGAAGCCAAGGGAAACATGTCCCAAGCCATGCTGCACCACATCAGCCCAGCAACAGATTTCTTACAAGACAATTGCAGAGCCTAAAAGTAGGACTGTTGGCCACGTGAGGAATACTGGAGCCAAGGCAAGTGTGCTTTACAGACAGGAAATGTGGCTAATCCATCTTACAATGAGAGCTTCAGAAGCAGAATAGCTTACAGGGCTGTCCTTGGCAGTGAAGATTGTGTCTTCCAGCCTTTGGGAACACCAAGAGGCAGCTATAGATAGAGCAGGTAGAAATGCAACTTTATCTGCTTGCTCCAATGCAGCTGCTTTCCTGGCTGGACACGCAGGGGTCCTGCCTTCTTGCTCATTTTCCTTCACTTAATTAAGCTGCACTGTGCTGGAGCTGCCACTGTGACCCAGTTCCCAGAGGCCCTCCTGCTCCCTTCATTAACTCTGAGGGGTGGGAGAACAGTTGCAGATGGAAAGTCCCTTCTCCAAGGGACAAAGGGACTCTTACTCTCACTTTCACTATGGATAGTTAATCACTGATGGCTGATCCACCCATCTGTGGAATGGGGAATGCTGTCCAATACAAGCCCTTTCTTAAACATTATTTCACCACAAATTTCACCCTTCCCCTCACCCCTCTCTCAAAAAAAAAACCCAAGTATTTGGGGCATGATTTAACAGGTTTTTAAGTAGAATTTACCCTATCCCCAAGTGTTCACCCCTTTGCCTCTCTGCAGTACTTGGATTCCTGTGCATACCAGCAATAAGGAAACTAGCAGAGCTACGAGTATGCAGGATTCCCCCCAAAAACCAAAAAGGATTCTGGTTTTAGAGTGTTTGATTTTACTTTCCATTGTCACAGCCAAGTCTGTAAAAGCACCAAAGGAAAGCAGCCAACCAAGTGATCTGATTTCTTGGAGCTGATTTCTACAGATACATGAAGGCCACAGAAGAGCTGGCTGCTACTTCATTCAAACCCTTCTCCTAGGCTATCACAAGGGCTGCTTTGCTTGCTCATTATAATTCAGCAAGAAGCATCACCAGTTCACACAAGTTTTCCAGAACATGACGCAAATCAACAGCAGTGGCAACAATACTTGCTTAAAAGAAGGCAAAGGTCAACATTTCCACCTACACTTTTGCTGCTGTTAACAGGTACTAGCTTGAAAAACCAATTTTTGCAGCAAAGTCTGTGCTGTGTTCTGCTGCCTTTCCTATCACAAGCATGCAAGGACACACTTTTCCAGGCTCTGCTGTTAAGAGTTTTGGCACACATGGTCCTAAACAAAGTAAGTCCTGCTGGGCACAGGAGTGCACAGGAGGAATTCCAGTTGCACAGAGCAGCTTTGTTCTCAGCTTCTAAATATCATCAGGGAAGTAGAGAAATCCTCAGAAACTTTAAAGTTGTCAAAGAAGAGCTGGGGCAAATGCTCAAGCTTCTGACAACTTACTTATCTAATAGAAGCAGCAAAACTCCAACACCAGGAAACCCAGCAGATGCTTCAGCATCCTCTAAAACAGACTGTTTCATTTTCAACAGTATTTACATTCCAACACAAGCCCTACCTTTTCTCTTGCTCCTCTGAGGCTGCTGCTCTGGGTGAGCAGAAGCGTTTGCTCTTACGCCCTGCCTGCCTGAACTGGAGACAGTGCAGCAGAGGAGAGGACCACCAACATGAGTCCAAACAGAGAATGAACTGCCCTGCATTACTCGTAACTAACTCTCCCTTTCAAACTGTCCATTACGCTTTGTGCCTGACTGATCAGGCAGCACAGGGGTAAGCTGGCCTCATGCCAAGGCCAAGGGAACTGCTGTGGTTTTGTGTTCACTGCATTTATCTGATTCTGCAATTTGCTGAATGTTTTCCCATCCCAGATCCTTCCCTCTGTGTGGCAGATAGAAAAAAAGCCTCCAGCACAGGAAAAGTAGGGAACACGTGCAAGAAACACCTGGCTGTCTCTGAGGATTTTACCCTGCCTGGCTAGTCCATTGAAGCCATTCAACGGCTCCATTCAAGAACATCCACCTGAGGTTTTACTGTTTGTTTCATTCAAGTGTTTAACTCCCTTCCCCATACCCTGGCAGTAGGAAATCTTTGAAGCATCTCAGCCATTCATTACATCCAACACCCAGAGGATTCTGCTGCCTTAGTCCTGCCAGACTCTCAACAACCAAGCTCAGTGCACAGCTTTTTCCTAAGACAGGTCAAAGATACCCTTTGCACAAGCTAGTGCAAAGTGTCCTCTTATTCCTCCTCAAAACTGATCTAACCATACGAGTGCAAGAGCAGAAAAAGGAATTTGAGCTATGACTACTGCTGATAAATGCTCAGCTTTTTATTCACCCACTAGAAAAGCTGCATTGAGTCAAAACAAAAACCTATCTCCCCCCAGCATCTGTCTTCAATAGTGGCTAACAGCAGATGCCCACGACAGAATGTAAGATAGGATAAATGTACAGTAGTATTTCCCAGAATACTTCCATATTTCTGGTAATTTCACCTCCAGGATTTTCTAATAGGTGATACCTTTGCCTCAGTCCATGTCTTACACTAATTCTCTCCCATCTCATATTGAGCCCATGTGAACTTTCAATGCCCCCAGTCTCTCATGACAGAATGCCACAGAGCACAGGGCACAAAGTTGTTTTGAACCTAACATTAGTTAATTTAATTTGAATCTTCAGTTCTTGTATTGGAAGAGACAGGGACCAATCAATTCTCATTTACTTTCTCAAGGCCACTCAGGATTTTATAGATCTCCATTGAACTGTCTCTCAACCATCCATCCTGCAGGCTGAAGAGCCACCCTGCCACGAGGGGCTGCCTGGCCAGTGGTTTGAGTCAGAGGGAGGTTAGCTAGCCTTTGACAGCAAAAGAAATCACTGCTGTGAATGTGATCTTGCTTTCCCATGCACCCTTCTCATAGTATCTATTTATGCACTTAAGGCCAAGATGAAAACAAATTCACACAGGCAGATAACAATATCTCAGTGCTGAGAAAAAGAGACAAGTCTTATGTATGAAAATATCCCAATGCAAGAATTCAGTCTGTTTCTCTTTTGACAAACTCAATAATGTAAGAACTGGAGCAGCTGGCTTATTTACTTCCACACCTGCTCCAGCTTACTTAAAATCCCTGTCTGCCTGCTTCCCCAAGGCACCCTGTGCAGAAAACCATTATTAAAGGAGTGTTGGGAGG